CCCCTCTTTAGTGGACCAGCTGAACCGTACCAGTCCCCTCTTTAGTGGACCAGCTGAACCGTACCAGTGCCCTCTTTAGTGGACCTGCTGAACCGTACCAGCACCCTCTAGAAGTCCTGGCCAGCGTACGGGAGGGGAAACAGCCACCGCTGATGATGAATCAAACAGGAGAGGTGTCTTTTCAGAACATCGTTTGCAAATTTTCCAGTCAGCTTTGGTAGATGAAGAGACAGTTCCTCCCCTCACAGGAGACCATAACGTAGAGACAATCCAATTAAACACCAAGGTGCACATTATGAAGAACGATGTGGCACTTTCCTTCAAAGGCTTCATGTGCGTACAGCCATCACTGAGCTGGCCTTTAATTCACATGCTGCTGCTCCTTCCTGACTGATTTTAGCCTTTATCTGTGGTTTGCAGAAATCACATTCATTTGTCTTTTATCGATGATAACGAAAGCATCACATCACAGTGTGGAGGAGGTGAAAGAGACCAGTGTGTTTATTAGCTTTCCTATTAGCTTGTTACCATGGAAGGAACCAACTATTCAGGTCTAGTGATGGAGGGTTAGGTGATGGTGCATCTGCTCAGTGTTGGTGCAACAAGTTTATTTAACTCAGTGGCGAATATAAATCAATGTGTTTGCTGAAACCAACATAATAAATGACATTATTGACAATAAAGTAAATGATTTCATAAAGTTTCTGTAAGTGTTCGATTTAACCCTTTCAGCCCAGAACCCAGAAGAGTTTACCAGGAATGTCATGTTTAAAAGATGACCAGAGTTACACCATTTATCAGAGCCAGGAGCTGTTAAAACACGGAGAACCATCAAAGTTTCACCTTTCTCTCAGTCCATTAACCGATCATGTGGGACTTTTACTTCTGTCTTTAACCAATTCTGAGGTTAACATCGTGATATTTAATGAAAAATCAACCAGTAACCAAAACCAAGCTGCTGTCTGCCCAGCTAGCGTCTCCTTGATGAAGCTCTTTTAATGTCTTTATTGAACAGACAGGTCTGGACTCTTTGGCTAAACATGCACAGTAGTTACTGTGTTTTTGGGAAACTGAAGCACAGCCATGTTTTCTCTCTTTTCTAGCTCAACAACAGTAAGCTGGCGTGGCAGGCAAGTCCACCGTATATGCGTACATGTTCTGTGATACATGGCCGCATATACTCACATGTTCAGTTCACTACTTGTGGACATGAAATAAGACATTGCTTCGAAATCTTCTTTTTTTTTCCAAAATTGAGGCACCCAAAGACGTACAAACTTTCTATGCGTGTTGTCTTTTTACTGCGACTCCTAGTTTGAGGAGAGCGAGGAAGAAGAGGAAGTAGGGGAGGAAGGGGAGAATAGAGAGGCGGAGGTTTGTTCCAAGTGGCTTCAGCGTCATTCATTTTCAAGTCATTGTGGCGTTTCCCCGTTCTAATAAGTCCCAGCACCATAACCGGTCACAATCAGTCCTTCAACACGACACCCTCCTGATCATCACGGTGGACTTCAGTGTTTCCTTCTGACCATCGCTACGGAGATTTCCACCTTAACTCTTCACCTCCTTTCAGTGGCTTTTCCTGCCCTTCCTCAAAACGCTCTCACATCCCCCTTGAATGATTATATCTGTGTTCTTTGTTGTACTTTTTTCTTTAATTTGTGTTTTCTTTGTAATTGTTCCCTCCTTGGCGACAGCCTGACACGGAGAAGGTGGGTGCCACCTCTACACATGTTCAAGTTGGAAAAACTGCAGCATTTCTGATTTACTTTTAATTGGCTTACAGAGAAACCTGGTGTTGGAACGTTCTCTAGATTCATGTTTCTTTTAATAACAAACAGGCTATTGTCCAAATGTATTCATTTTTTTTATTTATCTCTTTAAACAATCCTTCCCATCACAATAAAGATGGATGCACCAGTAGAAAAGGTAGGCACCTGTTCAACCTGCTGCCATCGCCCTCCACCATTGTAGTTTCCCAATTAATAGGAATAAAAATCCTAAATGCTAAATAACAGTTCTCCTATCTCACCTCCACCTGTCTGTGCTGGCCCAGACTGAAATGGCATTTGAAGATAAAAAGGTGAGTCTTTGTGCATATTAATCCTCCCCGTGCGCACAAATAAGCAGAGAAACACATACAGCGCTTTCAGAACAGAACTCGGTCCATTCCCAGCTGCCTTTTGTTCTCCCCGAAGCCCTCCCTCTGTGCCGTGTAGCAAACACTCCCCAGGTTCTCCCCTCTAATGGTGCTACATGGCCCTGACAAGGCATGAATCAAAAGGCCATTGGATCATTGAGTTAATGAGCCGCACCGCCGTCTCATCCATATGCGCTCCCCTGCAGGCAGTGCTTATTTAGATGATGCCTCCGTATACCTGAGGTACACTGGAGGTGATCTTCGTTCCCTCCTCACCATGTGCTTGTCTCCTTGTACCACACACATCTCCTGCAATACTGAACTTTTTTTTCCCCCCCGATGTGCTGTCTTTGAAAGTTGGAGACTGCTGGGAAGAAGGTGGGTTCGCTCAGATGTATGTGTGCAAGTTCCATCATTTTGTGTCTAATGGACGTTTGTGGGCTGCAGCAGCGTATCATTACAGGACCAGCTGATTCATCCCTTTGGTAGTCCTCAAAGCACGACACGCTTGTGGGCTGATGTGCTCCTTTTTTTCCTCGTAATGACCTGATGTAGCGCTTGTTAAAATCTTAGTGCCATTTGTAGCTTCTGGCGTCTTTGCTGTGAAGTGCAGCTTTCAGAGCTTCAGAGGTAATTTGAGGTATTTTGACCAAAAGCTGCAAATAAGATACGAAACCTTTCTGTGAGCTGCTGTTAAAGGACTCCAGCTTCTCCATTTAGAGCAGAATGCTGGCAGATACACTGGAGAGTTCTTTTTCCAAAGTTTGTAAAACCTTCTTCAAACTCATTTCTGGACTCTGCTGCGGTTTATGCAACACATGGCCTCGGTCCGACTCACACTGAACCCGTTCTGGATATCCGTCTTGTCTTCTTTGGAACAGATGGACTCGGAGGCCAGTGACTTACTGAATGACCTGCAAGTGAAGCTGAACAACGTGCTGGACGAGCTCACCATTACATTCGGGACCAGGTACCCGTCCACAACAGATAAGAGACGCCTTGATTCGTCCCACAGCGGGCTACGTTTGCAAGAGAGTTAATTATAGAATTCATTCTGCAACCTCTCGTTCGGTTTCTGTTCATTGATCATTTTCTTCCACTCTAGTTTCCAGAGCCGCATCAACGACTGCATGCGACAGATGGCGTCGCTGCTGTACCAGATCAAGGGGCCGCTCAACGCCAACACCAAGGCTCAGGTGGACGGCGACTCTGACAACATGCTGCGGCCGCTCATGGACTTCCTGGATGGAAAGTGAGTGGATCTATTAAAGACTGTGTTTTCTCCACACATTGCAGTCTCTTCAAGTAAAACACAGGCTGTTTTGTGGTCTTTAATAATTGAAAGAAATAAACATGGACTAATTATCTGAGGCGTGTTTAGAGCATTTCTCCCACGTCACTCGGATGTGTTTTGGCTCTCGACTGTCGTAAACTTGAATTCATGTTGCTTAGACGTTGTGAGCTTTTCTTTCCTGTGTCCTGAATTTGATCTTGCAGAATAAAATCCTGACTTCTTGTGGCTAATGTGTTCCACTGCATGTCTGCAGGCTCACGCTGTTTGCTACCGTTTGTGAGAAGACCGTGCTGAAGCGTGTGCTCAAGGAGCTGTGGAGGATTGTAATGAGCAACCTGGAGAAGACCATCGTGCTGCCACAGAGCAACGACACCTTTGTGAGTACCGCAGCGTTTCTTCATGCTTTTGACTTTTGTGACTTGTACGTACAAAAACGCGAGAGAGGTGGAGTAGCAGCTGTGAGTTCTCTGTTTCCTTCTCCAGGGAGCACAGTTATTCTCAGCTGCAAAAGAACTGGGTCAGCTCTCCAAACTCAAGGTACCACCACACTTCTGTACATTTCACATCATATTAAACGGCCTGCATTTGGGCTTCAGTGTTTGCAGCCTCTGAGGCGCCCACTGAGAGGGAGCAAATCTATTTTTATGAGTAACTGGTGTCTTTGCTCACTCCTGGGCTGTGCAGGATCACATGGCGGGGGAGGCTCGAAGCCTGTCCCCCAGGCAGTGTGCTGTCATGGACGTGGCACTGGACACGATCAAGGTCAGTTTATAGCACAGGTTTTGGTTTCATCAGGATGCAGAGCAGACGGGTCGGATTAGCTTCATCAACTATTCATCCATTAATGAAATGGGCAGGAAGGCTGTGTGAGCGGGTTGGACCATACGACTGCAGACGACAGAGCGCAACACGTGAGGGTATTTAGGGTAATTTAAAAACAACATCATCAAGCTGGCAGGAACATGGTTGAGAGGTTAGGGTATTTAGGGTTATGGTATTTAAGGTTAGGGTATTTAGGGATAGGGTATTTAGGGTATTTAGGGTTAGAGCACCGTGCTGTGACTGATTACGTGGTCATTTAAAGTCTAGTTCAGGCCCATTTTGATGCTGATTTTGTTTTCATCGTCCACTGTTCAGTTCACCTCAGTATCAAGAGCGTTTTTCTAAATCATCAGAACCTGCACAATATAAACCAGAGCAGCTTTTTGCTCTGAAATATTTCTTCATATTCTCAGATATCTGAGACCTCCACTTGTTCCTTCATGCTCTGATTCCCCCTCGGTTTCCTTTGCAGCAATACTTCCATGCAGGAGGAAACGGGCTGAAGAAGGCGTTTCTGGACAAGAGTCCGGAGCTGTCGTCACTGCGTCACGCGCTGTCCCTCTACACTCAGACCACGGACACCCTCATCAAGACATTTGTGACTTCACAGCATGCACAAGGTACTTCAGACAATCTGAGTCTCCGAGGTCCAGACAGGAAAGTCTTTTCCAAAGTGGACCAGCAGAGGGCGCTGTGCATGTATGACATGCAGTCCCTCTTTTAGTTCTGACACTGTGTTGTGAGTATTGAAAGTGTTTTTGATGCTGGAACGTGTTGACATATTATTGCTGTCTTCTCTTTATCTCCTGTGCTGCCTCTGTGCCAGTGCACAATGGAAAGGGTATTAGGTTAACTCCCAATGAAAAAGTACAGCCCAGCAGGGGTAGGTTTCATTCAAATCAATGTGCCCGCCTTCCTCCCCTCCCCACCCGCTCCCCCTGTGTATCGGTCAGTCCAGCATCTCCCCCCGTATCCCCTCTCGCTCTGACTCTGCATGATAAATCACAGGTTTTCCGTCTGTATGTGACCAAATGTAAGCTCGCTGCATGTGTCCGGCTTTGCTTTAAACTAGGCTCAGGCGTGGACAATCCCATCGGCGAGGTGTCCCTTCACATCGAGCTGCACACTCATCCCTCCAGTGGAGAGCGGAAAGTTACTGTGAGAGGTCAGTTTGACTTTTAATAAACGGATGTTTTCTAGAAAGGTGACGTTCGAGGCAATGCTGGCTCATCGGGCTCAACACCTTGTCTGTCCTGTAACAGTTGTGGTGGCCCGCGATTTGAAATGGCAGACGTCCGGTATGTTCCGGCCCTTCGTGGAGATCACCATGATCGGGCCGCACCTCGCTGACAAGAAACGCAAATTCCAGACCAAGTCCAAGAACAACAGCTGGTCTCCCAAGTTCAACGAAACCTTCCACTTGTGAGTGCAGCAAAGTGCTTCTGTAAATCTGCAGTTAGTGAACAAAGAAAAAAGCAACTGTTGGTTTTTGGTTCGTCAGTGCTGACCACGCTAACATGTCTACTTCCAGTTTCCTTTCTGTTGTCTGTGATCATGTTTGCTGTGTCGTCGTTTCTCACGCTTCAAATATGTTATTGGTCTTTCCTGATGACCAATAATGGTGATCGATATCGGCCCTGAACAAACCATATCACTGGACTCCACAGGAGAGGTGGACCTTCAGTTTGTAGTCACACATCGGTAGCAGTGAAGCTGCTGTGCTGGTTTGCAGTTTAGCACACTTTAGGTAGTTGTAGTTCTGTTGTCCTTTATAACTGCTCTGTTCAGGTAAATGGGTGCACATGGAAGACAGAGGGCGTCTTTCAAACATCAGTTCTAGCTTCCTGCAGCTTTGGGCTGACTGACCTCCTGTTGTGTTGCCGGATAACTGACAGCATTCAACTCTCTGCTCCACAGCATCCTGGGCTCCGTCAACGGCTTCGAGTGCTACGAGCTGCAGACCTGCGTCAAAGACTACTGCTTCGGCCGCGCTGACCGAGTGGTGGGTTTGGCCGTGATGCAGCTGAAGGACGTCATGGAGACGGGCAACTGCGCCTGCTGGTGCCCGCTGGGCCAGCGCATACACATGGACGACAAGGGCCTGACGGTCATGCGGATCCTCTCCCAGCGCTCCAACGACGACGTGGCCAAGGAGTTCGTGAAGCTGAAGTCGGAGAGTCGCTCGGCGGAGGAAGGCAGATGAGGACTGAGGCTTTCTAATCAGTCGAATAAGAGAAAGCCTGTGTGTGTTCAAAGGCAGGGATTATTCCAGAACAGGCCCGTGCCGACTCCTTCTTCGACCTTTGATGTGTCTTAGCTGCTGTTGACCATTTGGTGGCGCTCTGCCGAGCTCGCCGACACGCCGTCACGTCCTCCAACACTCAGATCACCCAGTGAGCTGCTGCACAGCACGGAGCCCCTGAAGCTGTCTCACCGGCTGGACCACCTAACCTCCTCGTCACCCCGTTCCTCATCAGCTGGAGGCACAGCGAGCACGCCAGAGCCTGGAGGGAGCAGAGGATGCCAGGCGCCCCCCACCTCACCTCCCTGGTGTTGTTGTGCAATAGCCCCCACCCCCCTCAAACCGCGGCCAACGCTTCATGCCTTACACTCCGCAAACCGTGAACGTGTGAAGTCACCCCGTCCTGTTCTGTAGCTGTGACGGTTTGAGTAAACGTGAAAATACCGTGCGGTCGATCTCACCAAGGAGTCTTCTGAATGAAGTTAATCATGTTCAGCTGGTTTTTCTACTGGCAGCAGCCCTTGATTTTACCTGTTCATGTAAAAGGGTCGATGAGTTAAACGTGTGCCTTGCCATGTTGACTTCCTCTCATGTTTGTCCAGAAAAGATGAAGTTAAGGTTTATTCATCACAGAGCATGGCGTGTCCCGGTCAGCGACATCCACAGCTCTCGGCTCGTGTGTGGTCATGATGGTGAAGCCATTTTATTTATTTTTTTATACACTAATACGTATTTATTTTTGGTCTGTTTTTGCTTTATAAATCCTGTGATTTAAAGATGTTTACTGCTGGAAACGAGCATCTTCGCCGGATCGGTGCGTCTGAGAGTTTGCACACGTCTGAATGAGAGCTGCCCTGAAGTGTTCCGGCGTCTTCACTCGACGAGACGCCGAGTCAGACCAGAGACCACCGAGGGTTTCAATAGAATCCATCTCAGAGTTGGCAGCCTGTGTCCTTGACTTGCAAAAGAGATAACTGACTTGCAGAATTGTTGATCTATAGTGAAAAAGAAGTCTTACATGTTGAACATTCAGGTGACATCTCTTTCTTCCAAAACAATAAATATCTGAACATTTGGACGAGAGCTGTGAGGAGGCTGAAGTGTTTCTGGTTTACATACATCTTCCTGCTCTGTTGTCTTCTGCTCTTTGTATGTGTGGCCTTACTTTGTGAAACAACGAATGAAATATCTTTTTTATTTATTTTTTATCCTTGTGTTGGCTCCCAGTAATAATGACTGACTGTCCATGATGATGTCAGTAAGTTTCCCAAGTGATGCTCCTTATCGTTTCTACTTCTGATGACATGATGTCGTATTGGTGGATTCTTCTTTTGTTGTATTTATTGTTCTGCTTTTTAAATGTCTCCCTGAACTGTCTTTACTGGCTCTGGATGATGTCTGAGGAGCACCGTAACGCTGCACGTCGCTCAGTCTGTTCTTAGCAGAAGGTAAATATTGATGGAGGACGGATGTGGGTCTGATATGAAGCGTCAGCGTGAAGAAGCCACTAAAACCAGACTCGTCTCTGTTACATGTATGAACCCTGTGAATAGCCGGTTGTTTGATGAGGGCACACGTTTCATAGCCGTCCTGTACGATACACATTCCTTGTGCCAAGTGTTCACGTTTGAGCTTTTTTTATTGTTGTTATTACATATTTTCTACATTTGTTGACCCTTGCATTATCACTGAACCACTGCAATAGTTAACAGTATATCACGGTATCTGCATTCTTTGTGCTGTTTTCTTTGTATTGTTGCTGTCACCATGGAAACATTCCTGCTCACCAGTTTTATATAAAGTATTTGAGACGTAACTGTGCCGACCTGCTTTTATTTCACTAGACCAGTGTCTCTCAGTTGAAGTCAAGCGCGTGATTAATCCGATTGATCAGCGGGATCGGATCCATTAGTAATGAAACCACATCTGCTGTCTTCGGTTTCAGGGTCCAATAGTTTTAGATTCACGCCTGGTGTTTGACACAAACCACTGTCTTTTTCTTTTTCTTTCTTTTTAGATGAGCACCAACTTATTTACTCATCTTATTTCCTTTTTTTAACCATGAGACAACGGAGTCTAAACATGTTCTGACATTTCTCCTGTTGATGCATAATTAGCGCCTCAACCTAGGCTTTGAATGGAGTATCTGTCGGTGCACAAAATGACTGCACGGCTTCATGCAGCTTTTATTAAAGGCCTGTTTCCCCCTAAAATATGGAACAAAGGAAATAACTATAAAAAAGAAAAAAATGTCGTGTTTAAATGAAAGCGTTCAATAGAAATTGATTCTGAAAAATCAGACTTTAGTAAAAGAGTTTCAGTTTTGTGCTTTGAATAAAGAACGGCTGCTTTAGTTGTCTTTATGTTTTTAACCTTCTTTTCTATCTTCTTTCATATCAGACCACCGTAATAACACTACACAAGAAAAACTGTTTTAAAATTAAAGCCTGAAAAAGAGCAGAAAATTGAAAATACATTAAAAATAAAAGAGAGCGAGGAAATGTGAACTCTTAGTTTTATTTCATTAAAAAGTATTTTAGCAGCTACAACTTCTGCTGCTGATTTATTCTGTTTTTTATTTGACTGATTTTAGAGTCAACGCTTATCAAACCAAAACCAAGATCCTGACGCGCTGACAAACTTTCTGATAAGTTTGAAATGAGACTTTTCTCCTGCTGTTTGTCTCAGTGGTGACGTCCTGCAGCTCCACTCAGATGATTCATTTGCATCACGGAACGCTCTTTATTGCTTTAGTTGTCCTGTTGGGAGGATGTTTTGCGCGGTGCGCTTCATGCCTGTGTTTGCTCACACACATGAACACAATAAGTAATTTAGTGAGCGGTTCACGCCGAGGTCGCCTGGACGACACGGCGGCGCTTTGTGCTCCAGCTCAGGTATTAAATTCCATTTTCTGAGAGCACCTGGATGCTCACATCAGTCCGGAGGCCACATTATTCTGTCATAACTCAGGAGGTCTTCTAACAACCCACATTATCCTCTTTGACGTTTGAAAGAGACAAAACGTGAGCTGAATTCGAGGAATGGATGAAGGTGAGAGGATACCTGGCCGCTGGGAGCATGCGCGCCCATCGCAGGGTGTGTTACATACCTGACTGCCCAGATCACGGCCTGACGCCGGCTCTGATTGGCTGCAGTCCCTCACCTTTATAGTCGTTTTACTGCCCTCCACTCCTGCACACACTCACCATCCAGGTCCAAAGATCGCTGCACACTGTTTGCTCAAGGCCTGAGCTGCTGGGAGCTGTTGGGGGATCCCAGCTCTTCCCTGCGTGAACCTGAAACCTCCAGCGTCCGTCACCACTCCAGCGCTTCACCTGTCGTCCATGCTGTCTGTCATCCGGTTGGAGGCCCCGGTCCAAACCCCTTCCCCTGCCCGGGACTAGATCGGTTCCACGCAGAGCACAGACGAGGGGCCTGGACTCACTTTATCTGAGGCGGAAGCAAGAGGAGGCTGAAGCTTGCAGCATTTCCCGTCTCTCTTTCTTTTGTCTGTGTGTGCAGGACTTGGAGGACACCAGAAATCAGATTCCAGTTTGAGGTACGTGGCTGATTTTCCTTCCCTTTCAGACACTATTTCTGTGGATCAAGTTCAAAAGCAGCTCACACTTGGAACCTTTGAAATTAGACGTGGATTTCAGGCCTTGTGACTTCGGACTGGCAGCTCAGACTGATTCCAGTGTTGTGTCCGGTGGAGGCCTTTAGTGCTTTGTGTTTTCCTCTGAGCGTCTCCAGGGTGGTGGGAGCAGCATTATCATGTGTTTATTACCATTTATTTCACTGTGGACGTGTCTTTTTCTCTGTTCTACTTCAGAAAACTTTTCCTACGAAGATGCAGGAAAAAAAACAAACCAACATAAATCCTTGTTTTATTTTCTGTCCTGGTGGCTGAAGACTGATAATAAATCTGATGAGGATCCATACGGTCTGGGTCCTATCTCCGTCTTATCTCCGTCTTATCTCCGTCTTCATCTGCGCGGTTGTAGCTTCTCTGTCTTAGAGTTTACTCTGGTACCAAGGGTTGAGAAGGGAGCGGCCACATGGTTTTTACAGCTTCAGATAAACTCTGCAGGAGGCTATAAATGTTAAATATAAGCCTGATGCGTTCAGGGTGAACCAGGGCCACTGCTGCGGTTAATCTTGCTTTTACTGGACTGTGATAATGGGAATGATGCTGATTATTCAGAGATCTTGTATCCCGATCATGACAGAAGGCTTTTTTTTTTTGCCTCGACCTCTTTTGTGCAGCAAAGCATCAAGATGAAGAGCTTTTGGTGCCGTTTTTTGTGTTTAGCTTAATTGTGGCAGAATTATGGAAGCAAATAATTAACTGCAGCCTTAAATTCACACGATAAAATCTTAATGAAGTCACTGATTGAGTTGAGCTGTTGTTCTTTGTTTGGTTTCTTTCTGTCCGTCCTTTTCTCATCTAAATCTCACTTCTGTGCCTTCTGTTCCCAATGTAGTCATGAGTCTGCACAGACAGAACCTCCCATACATGAGTCGGTTCCTTCAGGCTTTAGTGGGTTAGGCTTTAGTTCCCCTTTCAGCTGCTACCTTTTTACAGACCAACTATGGAGAAATCACTCTCTGCCTTCCTAACTCACCACAAATGCACTTTCTCAGGTGTGAAATATGGAGAAACTGAGCTAAAGATGGAATCAGTCGTGACGTACGTTCGCCGGTTGCTCGGACGAGAGAAAAAGAAAGGTGAGAGCTGCGTTTCTTCTTCTTTCTCGTGGTGCTGCTACCAGCTGCTCCTTCAGCGTTTTAAGTTGATTTTCCTACAATCTGTCTCCTGTTGGTTCCTCTCAGAGGAGGAGCGACACCTGCGCGCCAACGACAGAACTTTCAACGGGTCCTTCAGATACACCGTAAGCAGCTCCTCGGTCACCACGCTCACGGCCTTTTAGTTCGATGAGCCCTTTGAATACTGAATGACTTCTCTCTCCTCTGCTTCAGAACAACGCCATCAAGACCTCCAAATACAACATCATAACCTTCCTGCCACTCAACCTGTTCGAGCAGTTCACCAGGCTCGCCAACGCCTACTTCCTCTTCCTGTTTTGCCTTCAGGTAGACGTTTGTCTCTGTGTGTGTGGCAGCGTGAGTTGTAGGGCTGCTGTGGTTTAGGTTGTCATGTGATTTAAAGGCCTATGAGTGTAGTAAATGCTTTTTGTTATATAGTGAATTATCCAACAGATGATGGTGTGTTTGTGTGTCGACAGCTGATCCCTCGAGTCTCCTCTCTGTCCTGGTTCACCACCGCCGTCCCTCTGATTCTGGTGCTGTCCATAACAGGTGTCAAAGACGCCAGCGATGACATAGTGAGCCGGCTTTCTAAAGACAGAAAACATCTCTAACTGTCATGGAACAAAATCAACATCTAAGCAAATCTTCTATTTTTTTTCCTGTGAACTGAGCAGAAGAGGCACAGAAGCGACAAACAAGTGAACAACCGTAAGGTGGACGTCCTGGTGGATGGGCAGTGAGTCACTCAGCACATCACAGAAGGCCGCGCTTGCTTTAAATTGTACAGTTCTTCTGATCTCATTCTTGTTCTGACAGACTGAAAAAAGAAAAATGGAGGAACGTGCAGGTTGGGGACATCATCAAACTGGAGAACAATCAGTTTGTCACAGTAAGTGCAGAGATGCTACGCAGAGTGTCGAGCTCGTCAGTTCTGCCTTGTGCTTAACCTAACCCAAACCCTCCCATCTCCCAGGCCGACCTCCTGTTGCTGTCCAGCAGCGAGCCTCTCAATCTGGTCTACGTGGAAACAGCTGAATTAGACGGGTGAGTGTGCACGTGGCTGACGGCTGCTGTCTCTCACTGTCTTGGATTTCCCTTCAGTCGCATCCTTCTCATGTCCTCTCGTCTCCCCAGAGAAACCAACCTGAAGGTGAAACAGGCCCTGACTGTAACCGGAGAGATGGGCAACTCCACCGAAGTGCTGGGCGCTTTCAAAGGTGAGAACATGAGCCCAGACAACATTTAGCCCGTTCAGAAGTGAAGTCAGGTCCCTTCAGCAGGACCGCTGTGGGCAAGAAGAACCCAGATCCTGGAACAGCACAGACATCAACGGGAACAGAAACATGTCATTCCAGTTACAGTCGGCAGTTTGCTTCTGGGATTTAGAGCACTGCCGAATGTCAGAACAATGGTTATTAATCTGATTATTAATGGAGGGACTAACACCTAATTAGCTGTGTGAACTACGAGGCAGGAGCTGGACAGCTGACCCTAACATATTATCAGTCTGTATAACAGGAGTGAAGACATATGCACCACTTCATCTTTAGTATATATGTTCAAAAAACAGAAAATATCTGTCAAATAATAAGAATTTTAGATTATTTAAGTATCGTAATAAATGTGTTCTTTTACCACAGAATGCTATAAACGCACAAAGTAGCAAAAGTTTTTCATGTCTGAGCACCTTTTTAACACATTAATTAATATGCCTTCAATTTGACTGGATTCCATCTGATTCAATGAAATGTGGAACATCTGGAACATCTGGAACATCTGGAACATCAGCCAGTCCTTTTAACCACTGTCAAAAAAAATAAAAAATTACTTTTTGCAGTGCAGCGCCTGATGTGTTTACTTGTTTACTTGTTGACCGTAGCCCTGACTTGTTTACTTGTTGACCGTAGCCCTGACTTGTTTACTTGTTTACCTTAACCCTGACTTGTTTGCTTATTACTACTTTTCGCTGACTTGTTGACACTCTCCAGGCGAGGTGAGATGTGAGCCTCCCAACAACCGGCTGGACAAGTTCAAGGGGGCGCTGACGGTGGACAAGCAGGTGTACTCCCTGGACAACGACAAGGTGCTGCTCAGAGGCTGCACCCTGAGGAACACCGAGTGGTGCTTCGGCCTGGTCATCTTTGGAGGTAAACTGTGAGCTGCTGACGGAGGTGCAGGTGTCCGCTGTGGTTGGATGAAGGTTGGTCTGACACCCCAGCTTTAGCGTTAGGAATTGTCCAGAGAGGATTCTGCAAAGCTCTAGTGATGTTTTCAGAGAGAAGTTTTCTTTTAGTTTCCAAAATGTTCTTCTTAAAGGAAGGACAAAGTTCTCTGAAGACTTCCTTTGTTTTCCTATTATGTATTTTCTAGAAGAACTTTCTGGAATATTGCAGGAGAAATAGCCCGCCCTGCCGTCCTATTGAAGACAGTCTGTCTTCTTAAAACATTTTCTGAATGTTTGTGTGAGAACGTTCTTCTTTTGTTGTCATGGAAAGAATCTGACAACGTCCTCCAGACATCCTCTGAATGTTAAAACGCTCGCTCTTCGTTCACTTTTAGCTTCATCAGGACGTTATTTAAACTGATTAATGTCCTTAAAATGTTCTTTGGACATTGGAACAAAATGTTTCCTTTCAAACATTGTTAGAACTTGTAGGTAACGTTAGCCGATGCTGGGAACAAGTTGTAGATACAGTTCAGAGGATGCAGGTCCAGCAGTCATGTCTGTGAGGAGCCTGCAGGGGGCGCTGGACATTCACATGACTGACCTGTAGCAGTGGCAATAGAAACAGTGCACATGAACAGGTGGCTGCTAATAAAGACGTGTGAAGGGCTGATGCCCGTAGACCCAGTCGCTCTGCTGCAAATGCTAAGATCTGAGCCGCCGCCGGGCAAATGATGGACCGGCATCCAGTTAACGTCCAGTAACTGAGAGGAGCTTTGAATATGAAAGCTTCATGTCCACCTCCCAGCTGACAGGAAAACATGAGCTCAATGCACAGCTTTATGAGTTTAAATGCAAAATATTCACACAAAACCCGTCTGAAGCAGAGCGACCAGCTCCTACGAGCAATGGTGGAAGGTAACTAAGTACATTTACTCAAGTACTTGTGTACAAATTGGATGTACTTGAGTATTTCTATTTTATGCAACTTTGTCGCGCCGCTCCGCTTCACTTCAGAGGGAAATGTTGTACTTTCTCCTCCACTACATCTGTCTACATACATCCATGTACAGTATATTTAATCATTTCTAATCTATATAATCATTTATAATATCTATAATCATTTATAATATATATAATCATTTATAGTATATATAATCATTTATAATATATATAATCATTTATAGTATATATAATCATTTATAGTATATATAATCCTATACGACACACAGTTAAAGGCAAACGCAGCACTCTCTAACACTCTGGCTGATACTACTTTCATTTCAGTCGGACTTTTCCCTGCAGGACTTTTACTCATAGTCCAGTGCTTCTACGTTGCTGTCTTGGTACTTGTACTTAAGGAGAGCCTCTGACAGCTTCTTCCACTACTGTTAACTAGCAATACCCGCTAGTACGCCTCCCAGAGATGCTGAAAGTTCATCTCCATGCATGTGAACCCTCTCCAGGTCCCGACACCAAACTGATGCAGAACAGCGGGAAGACAAAATTCAAACGCACGAGCATCGACCACCTGATGAATATCCTGGTGCTGTGTGTGAGTTTCTGCAAACACAAGTACACAAAACTACACGGGCACATTTCAGCTGGAGGGGAAAAGCATGTTTAGATGTGTTGGACAATTAACTCACTTCAATGAATGAATGAATCTTCAAAACACTGGAGATAAGAAGCAAAGTTCATCCTGTATATAATTTGCTATAAATAAAGAGTTCATTTTGCAGAAACAAATCCATTCATGTAGATGTTCAGACAGCTTGTGTTTTTGTTGTTTGCTTGAGATGAAATCAGTCAAACTGAAGCTGAGTGGATCTGACTCAGTAGAAATGACAGAAACAGAGAGAAGTGAAGTTTGTCTCAGGCAGACGATGGAAACGTGGGTTTGTGAAGGTTGGTGGAGATGGAGGTTTGTGTTTCTGCAAATGAGCTCTTCATATATGTACGTATATATATTTTGGATCAATATTCATGCATGTAGCCTTGTTTGTCCTAAAATAAGTGAAACTAGTAAAAACAAATCCTATGTTTTCGCATCCAGCTTGTTCAGAGTAAATACAACCTTAACATCACTGAATTCACGTATAATATGTTTAAACTTCATAAATCCAGATTTTTCTGAGGCGGATTTGCTTTTCTCTGAATGATGAAGCTGTGTGGAATCTTCTTCTTTCAGATCTTCGGCTTCCTGGCGACTATGTGCGCCATTCTGACAGTCGGCAACGCAGTCTGGGAGGTGAAGGAGGGCTCCGTGTTCACCGTGTTCCTTCCTCGAGAAGACGACACGAGCGCTGGTCTCTCTTCCTTCCTCACCTTCTGGTCCTACGTCATCGTGCTCAACACGGTGGTGCCCATTTCCCTTTACGTCAGGTACTCATCAGCGGAGGAACATAAAGAAACCAGAAAACAAAACTAAAGCTACTGGTGCTGCTGTTCTGTTTGCTTCATGGTTCTACATCCGACTCTTTTGTGCTCAGCGTGGAATTCATCCGTCTCGGCAACAGCTTCTTCATCGACTGGGACAGGAAGATGTATTACCCGAAAAATGACACTCCTGCTCAGGCCAGAACCACCACACTTAATGAGGACTTGGGCCGAATTAAATACATCTTCAGCGACAAGACGGGCACCCTGACGCAGAACATCATGGTTTTCAACAGATGCTCCATCAACGGGAAAGCCTTCGGTGAGCAGCTTGGCTTCTGTAAAACAGGCAGAGTTGAATGGACGCACGAAGATGTGTTTGACTTCAAAGTGTTCTTCTCTTCCATTCAGGGGAGCTGTTTGACTTTTCTGGACAGAGGGTGGAGATAACAGAGGTGAGAAAGAACACTGACCCAGGGTTTGGTTTGAAATGATGTATTAAGGGCTGCAGGTGTCTCAGTGGTTAGCACCGTGGCCTCATAGCTAGAAGGTCGCCGGT